GAAAGAGTTACGTGTCAGAGAAACAGTTGCAATAGAGTAAGAACATTGCTTTCATGGGGTACTTGGGATTTGGGGCAAGAATTGATCCCCAGCTCCATCTGGGGTGGTCAGGGAAGACCTCACAGTGGAGGTGGTGATCCCGGTGAACCCGAGTTCACCGCCTTCGATTTTTCAGAAGTCTCCCTGCCCGTCACTCATGGAAGTTCACGTGCACTGGGTTCTCCTTCTGTTTCCATCCCACCCTCAGAGGACGGCCGCTGTGTGACTGTGATGAGCTGCCGCACACTCCCACACGGCCAATTATGATTTATGCTTTAATCTCACACACTCCGGGCTCAAGCAAGCAAACCACTGCAGTAATGACACCATTTCTGCAACGGAGCTCTGATGCCAGTTTGGCGGAGGGCACTTTCATCTCAATGCTTCCCACCCCTGCTCCCTCCCCCACCAGGTTTCTTCGTAAAACCTCAGTCTCCCTCGAGAAAGCCGAAGCTCAAATAATGTTTCACCATAAGCTTCCAACTTGTAATACTTGCAGTGCCGAGGGCAGGAGCCCAGAGTTTTCCAAACTAAACAACACTGGCCCCGGTGGGCAGACCCCAGTTTCCCTGACTGTGCTACAAGGGGCTGGACCAGGCCGGGAGGGGAATATCAATCCACTGTCTTCGGGGGCTAGCAGGTGACCTAAACCCAGGAAGCCAGGTGTGAGACAGTGGGGGGCCCTCAGGGGCCTGGAGCCCCGTGTGGATGTCACAGCCAAAGGCAGCCAGATGACCTTTCAAAGGCTGAACCACTGGCCGTCATCAATCACCCCTCTCATTTCTGACTTTGTATCAACACATCTTCACATTTTACAATGAAACAAAGGTGAATACAAAGCTTGTCTACCCCACGAGGGAGCGTTCATGTTTGCTGAAAAGTCCCCTCTGCGGAGGTCTCCAAACTCTGCACTGAGAGTGAGACCTCAGTCAAGAGGTTCACTAGGGACTTCCCTGGTGGCGCAATGGTTAAGAATCCAACTGCCAATGCAGGGGACACAGGTTCGATCCCTAGTCCCGGGAAGATCCCACATGCCGCGGAGCAGCTAAGCCTGTGCGCCACAACTACTGAGCCCACGTGCCACGACTACTGAGCCCACGTGCCACAACTACTGAGCCCACATGCCACAACTACTGCAGCCCGAGTGCCTAGAGCCCGTGCTCTGCAACAAGAGAAGCCACTGCAGTGAGAAGCCCGCGCAGTGCAATGAAGAGTAGTCCCCGCTTGCCGCAACTAGAGAAAGCCTGTGCACAGCAACAAAGACCCAACGTAGCCAAAAACAAACAAACGAATAAAATAAGAGGTTCACGAGCCAGAAAGAGCACAGGCCTCTGAGTGAGTCCTGCTCTGTCCCAGGTATTGCCCTCATGAAGGCTCCAAGCCCAGAATGACTGCCCAGACCTCCGCCCATGAGCAGTGCCATGATTAAGGGCATCTGTCCTCGGCCAAAATAATAGAGTCAGGGAGGAAACAGCATTCACTCGCTGGGAGCAGTGTGGCCTCTTGGTGAGAGGCGTCCATTTGAACCCTCGTGATGTGCAGTCGTGGGACAATTCTGGACTGAAAATGTACTTACTGCATAAAACAGAAAGGTCGGCTCGCACCTCTCTCCGTATTTTTCGAGGACATCAAGACGGTCTGCCTCTGCCTAAAGGAAACAGGCTGTCAGCAGGTCGGGTGCAGGGACAGGATGGCGAGAGAACCGCGTGGGACACACACACCACACCCCCCATACAGAGCACGTGCACATCCATATCGCATGCGCACCACACACACACACACACACCAAACACACCAAACGCACATACTCCTCATACCCCACATACCACACACCGCATACATACCACACACCGCATACATACCACACACACATATACATACCACACACATATACATACCACACACATCCATACTACACACACATACATACTACACACACATACTACCAGCACACGCATACTGCTACACATGCACGCACATACGTTACGCATAATATACATACATCACACACACATATCACATCCTCCCACACACCACATACACACACAGCACACACGTGCACACACGTACATCACACACCACACACGTGCACACACGTACGTCACACGTGCACACACATACATCACACACGTGCACACACATACATCACACACGCACACACGCACACACGTACATCACACACACACACGTGACTGCCCTCCCCAGCTGGAGCCCTGGCTTGCTCTCTCTCACGCTCCTTCTGATGCCTTTCATCAGAATCTTAACAACTGCCAACATACAGGTAAAAAGTGCTGCCAGTGTAGTTTTCTGAGGAATAAAATAAGGAGGACGTGACAGTTTGTCCTGCCCCGGATCAAAGGAGCTCCACCACCAACATCCCACATCTGCCCCAAGTGGCAACCACAGAGGAAGGTCCTGAGCTCACCTCCGGGTCTGATAAAGCTCCGCACCCAGACCCCTCCTCCGCTCACTCCACAGAAGCCTCACAACCCACTCCCACGGGAGGAGGGCAAGCCCTGGGAGCCCAGCTTCTCGAGAGTTAACGTAAGGGAGAGTCTCGCCTGCGCTCACCGTCTCCGAGTCCCAACCCATGCAGCTCGTCCAGTGTCTCTTGCATGCTTCTCTGGAAGTGATTCCCGTTTCCATACACTGACCTGAGTAAACGTTTGCTGAAAGTTCCCCTTTAAGGAGCAAGGATAGAAATCTTAAACCCCGTGCTCTGGAAGTGAAACTTCAGGGTTCACAGTGGACACGAGCCAAGAGGGAGCGTTGGCCTTAAAGTGGCCGCACGCCTTCCCGGCTCCAGCATCAGGGGCAGCTGAGCCCACCGGGACTGTCGCGAGGCAGGGTGCGGGGGAGGCTTCCTCTCTACAGAAACCGGTATCAGCAAAAATATCCACAACGGATGCCTTGTCAATGATCTGAAAAAGGCCCCTCAAACTTCCTGTTCCTGTTTTTAAATTTTTAAGTTTTTTACAAGTTGTGTGACATTGTGCTGAGAGAGGACCTTACTAATGCAGAATGCAGAAGGTCCAGGCCGACCTCGATCCTCATCTTCTGGATGAAGCTCACCACGGGCTTGCAGGGGCCGCAGCAGCCTTGGTAGACGTCGACAACTGCGTGGAACCAAGAAGCAGGAGCACTCAGCAGGCACCAGCGCCCAGCACGTCAGGCAAAATTGATACCTGCCCATTCCAACCCCCGCCGACGGACATCTGTTTGCAGGGATATTTATTTCGTGGTTAAAGGGATTTATTATCCCAGCAGAGTATGAGCGAGTGTGGCAACACAGCTTTCCTTCATGAACGCAGTGTTCTGAATTCTAAACACAGTGAAGTGAGTATGGTGGAAAATCACTTACTTAACATGGATCCTTTGCCTTAAGGGACTTTCAGCTACATTCAGTGTCAGGCCTAGCACAGAGAAGCCCTCAGTACATATTTGAAATTGACCGAAACTATCTCTTCTAAAAGGAAGAGGTCACTGTAGGTGACCTATCAGCATGCAACCATCTCTTAGCTACTTTGGTAATAAACATACCATTAACCTTTCCTCCTGATGCATTGGAAGCCACTTGCTTTGGGTAAAGGAGAGTTTTATCTTTAAAACTTTATCAAATCAACATTATTCCCCTGGAAAGTGAACCTGAGAGAGACCTAGGTGGAAACTGGGGTGTCTTTTTCTGCTTTGGTCCCAGTCTCTGGAGTGTGGTGGGACTGGGTGTGAGGGACCCTCTTGTCTGATTGCACTAGACCCCGAGGCCTGTAAGAAGCTAAGCAGCGAAGCCAACACGTGTGCACCGGATACGCACCAGACCTGCCCAGCCCAGTCAGATGCAGCAAGTAAGTGCTAGATGGTGATGGACCGGTGGTCACATTTTAAGGAAGGATATCTTCCTAAAGACCTCAGCACTCAGAGCTCATGCCTGATCCACACAGGGGGTGTTTCTGTTCTGCAGTTAGAGTGCATCCTCATGGGGAGAGAATGTGGACACTGCTTATAAACTATCAGCCCTGCCAGTTTTAATAGCATGCAATTTGTGATTTTACTTTTTGAAGATTCACATTTCAAATTTTTCACATCACATGAGAACTGTTAATAAACCATGATATAAATTACCTTTTTTTTGGCCATGCCACACGGCTTGCGGGATCTTAGTTCCCCGATCAGAGATTGAACCCAGGTCCTCAGCAGTGAAAGATCAGAGTCCTAACCACTGTACCGCCAGGGAATTCCCTAAATTATCATTATTAAAATTAGCATAGACTCTGGCAGCACCGTCTTAACGCTGTACTGTAGGACTCAGGGGAGGAGGCTTCGCAGTGGAGAGGCGACTTGCATTGGGCATTGTGGAAATGCCAGGCTTGGACGGGCAGAGAGGGAGGCCATGGTGGGAAGCATGGTGGGAGAGTCCAGAGGCCGCTGCAGTTGGGTTGATCAGTGGTGGCAGAGATCACTGGAGGAGTGGGGAATGTGGGTTTGAAGAGTTCCATCCTGATTTACTAGGCAACGAGGGTTCACAGTAAGTTTTAGAAAGGAGAGAGAGTTAATATTTACTGAGCTACAAGAGAGCATCTGCACTTTGCTTTTCTCTCAAAAAATCCAGCAAGATAGGTATCATTATCCTACCATAGAAATGAGGAATGAAATAACCAACCCAAGGTAAAAAAATAAATAAATAAAAATTCTCAAGCAGTAAACCCGAGTTTTGGACCGAGGTTTGTCTGATGCCACAGCCTGTGCTCTTTCAATGACTCTGGGAAAGAAGATGCATGAATTCAACAGTATGGGTTAGTTCAGCCAAGCAACATAGTTTTGCAGAGAAAGTGAGAGCCAGGCTGGGTTTAAGAGGGACGAGGAAACCAGACACAGGGGTGGCTGTGTTGAGGGAGGGGAGAAACGAAGGAATCCCTGAGACTTTGAAAATGTAGTGGAAAGACTGGGTGTGGCAGTCCTGTGGGTGTGAGAAGGACCACCTTTGAGCCCGGCAGAGAGAAAGCACTGGGTGGAGGCAGGGAGAGAGCATCTGGGAAGGGAGGAAAGTGAACTAGATTCCAGACACGTTGCATTTCCAGTACCGGCCAGAGAGTCTAGGGCAAATAGCCCCAAAGTCAGCCAGACACCAGCAGAGGCCAGAGAGAAGGATCTGGTCCTCCTCAACATCCCGGTGGAGGATAAAGCTTCTTTGAGGCTCCTTTGAGGACAACAGCTTCACAGTTGAGGGATTTGGAGATTTCAGTAGACCACAGGAATGGGAGAGAAAGGCATTTGGGTGACTCCAGGAAAAAATCCTTGAAGAATTAGAGGATCCTGTATCCAGGCCCACCAAGGAGAACAGGTTCAAGCCCCGGCAGGAAAAAATTGGGACCCAATTAGCTGCCAGTCTCTATGCAGGGTTTGCATTGCTAGGTCAGCCTAGTCATTTGTACCAGCTTCCCATCTCCTCTTGCACTCCCTGGCTCTACGAGGAGTGGTGGTGACAAAGGCACACTTCCCACGGTTGTGGGAGAGAGGTGGCTGAGGACGGGAGAGGAAGTTATGAAGAGATTGACTCTGAAAGGCAGGAAGCAGAAAGAGAAGGAAGGAAAGGAATGGCAGAGAAAATGAAAAGGGAGGGGCGGGTGTGTGTACATCTGAATAGACTTTCGCACGTTTGAAAGCAGATGGAAGTGAACCAGCAGAAGACCAGAGCTCCAAGATGGTGGCTGACCTTGGAAGCAAATCCCTGCTGGTTCCAGAAAGAGGGAAGAGCCCGAGTTCCTGGTGACTGCTTTGATGAAGAGGGGCGGACGAGCCCCTGCTGCCTTAGGTCCACACAGTTCCCTCGTGTCGTGCTTCGAGCAGGACTCGACAAAGTCCACACTCAATAGGTTAGGGTGCCTGGAACGTGGCCCATCCTCCAAAAATGAGGAGCTGGTGGCTTTCTTACTGTTGTTAAAGAAATAGAAGTCATGGTGGTTTTGCCCTGGAGCCATGTTCCGGCTGCACGCAAGGCACATGGACAACATAGTTAAGACCTGGCACCATCAACAAAGCCTTGTAATCCCTCAAGTAGTAGAGTGTGGCCAGACTCACACCCACATCCTGGATCAATGGAACCGCATTTATTAAGAGCCCACTCGGCCCGGGCCTGGACACGTCTGCTCCTGATGGACATGAAAAAGACAATGGCCCGGTGCTAGAGTCTGGGGGAAGGCATGGAATGCCTACCTTCACAGGGGCCACACCAGGTTGGGTGTGTGCTGGGGGTTCAGACAGAGACACCAGGCGGAAGTGACCACACAGAGGTTCAGGAAAGACTTCATGCCAGGAGGCTGCTTTAGGACTGCCTGGGGATGAGAAAGGTTTCTACAGGTTGTAGGGGGGTCATGATATTTCAGGTAGTAGGAAAAACGTGGATACAAGTGAAGAAGCGGGGAAACTTGTGGCATATGTTCGGGAAACAGGTTGGAGCCAAGGACAAACCTCAGGGGACAGTGGGTGAAGGGGCTGGAGGGATGGGGGAGGGGGGCTTGAGTCCTGAAGTCACGGGTGCAGGCGCGGCGGTGGAGAGAGATGAGAGCAGATACCAGCTGACCGAGCAGGTGTATTTATAGAGAGACCTGAGCAGACACAGAAATGGAGCCCAGAGATCTCTAGAGGAAAAGAAACAGAGAAAGGAAGAGTTGGGATGCAGCTGTGCTGGGCAGCCTCTAAGATGCCACTAGTGAGCCCTGCCTCCTGGGATTCAAGCCTTTGTGTAATCCTCTGCCTTTGAGTGCAGGCTCCACCCAGGGTGAACAGAACAGGGCAAAAACAATGGGATGTTACTTTTGAGATTAGGTTACAAAAAGGCTGTGACTTTCGTATCTCTCTCTCTCTCTCTCTCTCTCTCTCTCTCTCTCTCTCTCTCCTTTCCTCCCTCCCTGAGCCCTGCTTTGGGGGAAGAAAGAAGCTACCATGTTGTGAGTAGCCTTATGGAGTAGTTGACGGCAAGAAACTGATGTCTCTGGTGAACAGCTAGCAAGGACCTAGGTCCTGCCAATGGCCACAGGAATGGGCTTGGAAGTGACCTTCTAAGATCTGCCAAAGCCAAATGACTGAGCTTGGAAGTAAATCTGACTCAGCTGAGCCTTGACATTCTCTGTGTGACTCCTTAGCTGCAGCCTTGGGAGAGACTCCAAGTCAAAGGCACCCAGCTAAGCAACCCCCGGATTCTGGATCCACAGAAACCATAGGATAATACATGTTTAGTGTTATAAAGCACTACGTTTGGGGGTAAATTGTTGCTCAGCAATAGATAATTGATACAAGGATGACAGCGACAAGGAGGCCCAGTGACAGTGGCTTTGCTGTTTCCTACTGACTGTGCAGCCCCTGGTTCCACTTGCTTGGGTTGCCTGTCTCTCCTTCCAGCACTTGAGTTCTGAGAGATCCCGTATTCCTTTCAGTACCTTCCCCTTTTATGCCTCAGGTAATTAGAAGAGGTTTCTGTTGCTTAACACCAAACAAGCCCTGAGTATGACTAACCATAATCTAAAACAAGGGAACCCTGCTATCCGGCAGTACTGACTAGTTTCCTGAACTGAACTCATAGATGTTCAAGTCAGATATGTATTTAAACACAAAGAAATTACCTGGTTCTTTATTTATGAAACTCGAGGTTATAGGAAAATGATGCTCTTTGCCGTTTTCTCTTCACGGTTCAATATGTCATTTGGCAACTTTGAAAAGGATGGGTCTAAAAAATTATCTTAAATTACCAGTTAGTCCTTTGGAACTGAGCATTTCCTCCCAAAGTTCCTGGGTACTGATGTTGACCTAGCATCAAAGAGAAACAAACGCTGTATATTACTGAGGGTGCCGATGGGGAGACAATTTTATGTATTCATTTGCTCCTATTCATTTGCTCCTATTGTTCTCTCTCGCTTTTGCGCTCTCTCTCCATGAAATACTTACAAATACAGCTCAAGCTGTCATCTTTTGCCAATCCTCTCTTCTCTTTTCTCTCTCCTCCTGCCTCCACCCCCAAGAATAACCACTATCCTAAGAAAATCTCATTTAAAAATTTTTTTAACTTGTTACTTGTCCAAAACACTATATAAAATTGTTTCGTGTCCCTAAATATGCATAAATGGTATCATACTAAAGATATCCTTTTTCAATTTGTGTTTTTACTCAACATTAATTTTTATTTTTAATTTATTTATTTTTATTTTTGGCTGCATTGGGTCCTCGCCACTGCGTGCGGGCCCCCTCCAGCCGCGGCACAAGGGCTTCTCACTGCTGTGGCCTCTCCCGCTGCGGAGCACGGGCTCCAAGCCCGCGGGCCTCAGTAGCCGTGGCTCGCGGGCCTTAGAGCGCAGGCTCAGCAGTTGTGGTACACGGGCACAGCTGCTCCGCGGCACGTGGGATCCCCCCGGGCCAGGGCCCGAACCCGTGTCCCCCGCGTCGGCAGGCAGGTTCCCAACCACTGCGCCACCGGGGAGGCCCAACAGTAAATTCTGACATTTATCTGTATCTACGTACAGAGAGGTACTCATTGTTTTTTGGCTTTTTATACATTTTATCGAGCTATAAATTATAAATAGTGAGATACACAGAACTAAATTGCTACGAATCAGTGAGTTTTGACAAATGCACACATCCAGGTAACCACACTCCTATCACAATTCAGAACATTCCATCTCCCAGAAAGTTCCCTCCTTTCTCCTCCCGGTCACTCCGCAGTCCTCATCCCAGGGAAACACTCATCTGCTTTCCGTCGTAATAAGTTCATTTTGCCCATCCTAGAACTTCATATAAGTGAAATAGTACAGCATGTCTTATTTTGCACTGGCCTCTTTGGCTCAGCATATTTTGGGGGTTCATCTGTGTGGTTTGTTCGGCACCCTCAGTGGTTTGTTCATTTTTATTCCTGAGCATGTTCCATTGTATGACAACATCACAAACTGCTTGATAGAGAGTTTGGAGCTCTTATGAATAAAGACTTGGGAACATTCTTGTTAAATCTTTTTGTGTTCATGTTCTCATTTGTCTTTGGTAGGTAAATACCTAGGAATTAAATTGCTGGGACATAGGGTAAGTAAGTATTCAGTTTAATAGGAAACTGCCAGTGTTTTTCCTAAAGTGCTTGAACCATTTTAAACTTCTATCAGCAAAGTATAAGAGCTCTGGTTGCTCCACATTCTCACCAAAATTTGGTGCTGTCAGGCTTTGAAATTTTAGCCACGCTAATGGTGATGTAGTGGTATCTCAATGTGGCTTTCATTTCTTTTCTCTGATGACTAATGGTATTGAGCACTATTTAATGGGCTTATCAGTCATTTGTATATCTTCTGTGAGAAGTGTCCATTTCCTTAAATTGGATTGTTGGCCAATTTAAAGTATATTATTAGATTATATATACTTTTGGTGGGGGACAAATTCTTGTCAGAAATATGTATTATAAAAAATTTCTCTCCAAGTTTGAGGTTGGCCTATTAATTTCCTTAACAGTTTTTGTTGAGCAGAAGTTTTTAATATTGGTGAAGTCAAACTGATCAAATTTTAGTTTTATGGTTAAGGCTACTATGTCCTTCTTAGGAAACCTTTCCTCAAAGTCATAAAGATGCTCTCCTATTTTCTTCTGGAAGCTTTATAATTTAGGCTTTCACATTTAAGCCTGTGGGCCATTTGAAATTAATTTTTGTCTACGTTGTGAGGGAAGGATTGGGGTTAATTTTTTTTTTCGTGTGTAGGTATAGTTGTTTCTGCAGAAGTTGCTGAAGAAAATTTATTTCCCTATTAAATTGCTTTGGCACCTTTGCTGAAAACCAGTTGATTGCATAAGTATGGGATTATTTTGGACTTTATTCTGTTTTATTGACCTATTTATTCTTATGCCAGTACTATACTATTTTGATTACTGTAGCTTTATGATAAGTCTTGGAATCAGGCCGTGTAAGACTTCCATATGTGTTTTTCTTTTTCAAGATTGTTTTGGCTACTCTAGCTCCTTTACATTTTCATATACATTTCAGAACCAGCTTGTCAATTTCTGCAGTTATTTTAATTGGGATTGCATTGAATCTATGGATCGATTTGGGATAAAACTGAAATCTTAACAAGACTGAGTCTTCCAGTACATGAACATCATGTTTCTTAACACTTATTAAACAGTCCTTAATTTTTCACAGCAACGTTTCATAGTTTTTGGTGTGTATGTTTTGCACATCTTTTGTTAAATATATCCCAACATCTACATCCTAAGTAATTAACAGTTGCATTTATTGCCATTTCTTCACATTTTTCTCTTATCTATCTACAAAATATTTTGGTTTATATCAGAAATGAGAATCAAAGAAATACATATTATAAATAGTACATTATTAATAGTGTACATTTTTGTATAATGTTTTTACTTGGAAACAATTTCAAACTTACAGAAAATTTGCAAGTACAGTGTAAATAACTTTTTCCTGAACTATTTGAAAGTAAATTACTAACTTGATTTCCTGTTATCCCCGAACACATTATTCAACATAGCCACAGTACAATCATCAAAGTCAAAAAATAAACACTGATATATTATTACTATCTAATCCCCAGACCCCATTCAAGTTTTACCAATCATCCCAATAATGTCCGGAATAGCAAAGGACCTAAACAGAATCATGTGCTGGATTTATTTGTCAAGTCTCTTCAGTCTGTCTTAGTCTGTAACAGTTCTTCAGCTGTTCTTTGATTTTCATGACCTTGATACTTGTGAAGACTACAGGAGGGTTATTTTGTAGAATGTCCCTCAGTTTGGGTGTGTTTGGTGTTTCCTCCTGGTTAGAAGCAGGCTGTGCATCTTTGGATTGGTTGGAATGGTTGAATTGGTTAGAACTGATTGGATTAGTTGGAACTGATTGGGATTAGTTGACACTAGTTGGATTGGTTAGAACTGGTTGGATTAGTTGGAACTGGTTGGATTGGCTGGAGTTAGTTGGATTGGTTAGAACTGGTTGGGGTTGGTCAGAACTGGTTGGCTTGGTTGGAATTAGTTGGATTAGTTGGAACTGGTTGGATTGGTTGGAATTAGTTGGATTAGTTGGAACTGGCTGGATTAGGTGGAATTGGTTGGGTCGGAATTAGTTGGATCAGTTGGAACTGGTTGGATCGGTTGGATTGCTTGGAATTAGTTGGATTGGTTGGAACTGGCTGGATTAGTTGGAACTGGTTGGATTGGCTGGAATTAGTTGGATTGGTTAGAGCTGGTTGGAATTGGTCAGAACTGGCTGGATTAGCTGGAACTAGTTGGATTGGTTGGAGTGTCAGAATCAGAAGAATGTTCTCTCATTGCATCCTATCAGGTGACACACACTGTTGATCTGCCCCCTTACTGATGATGTGCACTTTGATCACTTGATTAAGGTGGTCTGTCAGGCTTCTGCACTGTGAAATTATTCTCTTTCCCTCTGTAATTAATAAGTTTTTGTGGAGAGCTGCTTTGAAAATATATAAATTAAAAGACCATGACAATTACCGCTCATTGTTAACAGAGGTATGCTAAGGTGTTTGTCTCTTTAAAAGGGCTGGAAACATGTAACATCTGCAAATCCTCCGTTAAAGATCCATCTTTCTAAATAATTCATGCTTCCATACACTTTTTGTTTCTATGAAAAAAAAAGAAAGAAAAAACAGAAAAGTCTTCATGATGCCTTACATGCCGTAAGAGAGTTGGATTGGTGTCATCCTGAGCCCACGACTATAGTCCTGAGGAAAATGATAGAACTCAGGAGTCCTCGCCCTCTCTCTCATAACAGTCACTTTCAGAGACTCAGCTGTCAGTCAGTGACAACTCTCTGTGGTGCACCCCCATCGTGGACTGAGCCACACCAGGGCCAGGACTCTGGATAGCTGAAGAACCTCACTCCTAGGAGCAGCGCAGGAACAGAGAGGTATGGGAAATACCTGGACCTTGAGAAATCCTACATGAGGTAGAGAATGAATGGCGAATGTGTGGCACCTTTTGACCACACTGTCTCTTGATATCCTGCAATTCCAGTCTTAGTCACAGAAGGAACCCTAAATAGCCTTACCCAGAGACAGAACAGGGTTCCTGGGTTGGCAGACCCTAGAGCACTGCTTTCAAGGAGTTGACCTGGTAGACAGGCAACGCTTACACAGATGCTTCAGTGCATAGCGCCCCCCCCCCCCGACCTCAGCAAATGGGAGCACTTCCTTTGAGGACCGCAGTGAACTCAGAGCTCTGGGGAATATGCGTGGAAAAAGAATTGGTGAAAAATGCTATTACTCTCAAAGGGAATATAAGGTATAGACACAAGAAAAGACAGTCGTATGGGGCAAAAATCTTAGAGCCACAACAGACAGCATGCAGACCAGCCTGGAAATGTCTAAAGGAGTCTCATCATAACAACTCTGCTGGTTATGTATTATCCGTCCTGTTTACATAAAGAACATGGAGGCTCAGAGAGGTTGAGGAAATCATTCACAGCAATAAGTGGTAGGAAGAGGCACTTAGAATTGACTTACAGACAGAATGCAGACAGAGGAAAAGTTTTATAACTCTAGAGTACTAGAATATCAATACTAGAAGGCCCTTAGGGATAATTCACCCAACATCCTCATTCCACAGATGAGCAAGCTATAGCCCAGAGAGGTTATGTGATTTATCCAAAGTCCCAGAGTTGGCTAAGAGAAGAGGTAAGAACTACATCAAGTCTTCGACTTCCAGTCCGAAGATCTTCCCTTCCCCCCCCCACCCCGCCCCCTGCACACTATCCTCAGCCTGACATTGCTTTCTCCCTTTTAAAAATCACTAGGCTTTTGAAATTCACATGTAAAGTGCTGGTGCCACAGAGAACAATAAAGGAGAAATCAGATGACTCAACACCACTGCCGCTCTACTCTCCAAGAAGTGCCTAGAGCCTGAGCACCTACCCTGATGGACTGAACTGACTATGAGACATTTTAAAGTTTGCTTTCAAAGGTATCCATATTATGCATCATCCAGATGATCTTATGATAAAGCCCTCCCTTCCGCTGCCAGGACCCATGCCTGCATCACTTTAGAGTCAACCACCACTTACTGTCCAGGACCAGGGAATAAAAGAGCAGACCCTGGCTTATGGAATCACTTATCACAGGCACAAATGAAGTAAGGCACTCTATAATGAAAGTGTAGCGCACAAAATATCAAAACATATTACTTGAATAAGCGAATGATTTTAGAGAGTAGTGGTGGGAGAACTGAGTCTGCAGAGAGGGCATAGTTACAGACACATGGCCAAACTCAAAAGAACCGATACCATATTCTCTCAGCAAGCCACAATTATACTTCAACAAAAAAAGATGTCAACATCGAATTATACTGATTCATATTTTCTTGTTTTTTTAGTTTTACGTTAATTCATGTTTGAGTTTTATGGTTGCATAAGCACTATAAGCATAAACAGCTTACACTCAAGTTTATGTGTGTTTATATTTCAGTGCACAAAAAATTTGTCATCACTAGAGATCCAAGATAAAGGTTTTTTTTTCCCCCCTTTAAGATGGAAGGTACAATATTCAAGTTTGAGAACGCTGTCTGTCACATACTACTGGCAAACAATATCAATTTTTTTTTTTTTTTTTTTTTTTTTTTTCTGGTCCGGGGTGTCACGGGGGTATTTATTTGCAAGCTCACATTTTCAAGAGAAGGGTTGTATGTTGGGAAAGCTTTGTTCGTACATTTCAGTTTTAAAAGGTGGAATCCAGGCCTTCCTTTTTTAAGCGGTACGCGGGTCTTTCACCGTTGTGGTCTGTCTTGTTGCGGAGTACAGAATGCAGACGCGCAAGCTCAGCGGCCATGGTTGAGGGGCCCAGCTGCTCCGCTGCATGCGGGATCTTCCTGGACCGGGGCAGGAATCCGCGTTCCCTGTATCGGCAGGCGGACTCTCAACCACTGCGCCACCAGGGAAGCCCACAATATCTTTTCTATACTCCACTTCCCGCTCCACACCATCCTCCTCGCACCCCAACCCCAGTCAAGTGCTGGAAGGAAGCTCCTCTTTGAGGCTTACCTGCAGGGCCATTTCCTTCTTGCTCCCCATGGCACTGCAAAGAAGACAGAAGCTCTGTTACTGACAAAACGCTGCGCTGATCAGCAAGCCGAGACCCTCCTTCAGACAAAGCCCCCCCGCCCCTTTAAGTTAGAGAGGCAGCAAATAAACGCAATGATGCAAAATGAACACCCCACGGGAGAAGCAGAGCTTGCGGCCCGCGGGCTCATGACTCGCCGTAAGATTTTCTGCGGATTTGCGGAGCCCCTTTCCCGACCCGGAGCTGGCCAAGGGGTACGCGCAGAGGCCAGAGTACGGGCTCCGGGGCCACGCAGCCCGTCAGGTATCCGAGCGCCTGCCGAGGAATTCGGATGGAAAAAGTCTACAGAACCCTGCTATCCCTACTGTTCCAATTTATTCCTGGGAAACTGAGTCACTGCAAACAGATACACCGTCCTCAACCTACAGCGAGAGTTTCCAACAAAATTCGCTGCGACCCAGCCACGGTCGTCATGGCAACACAGCGCTGGCCTAAGGCCGCCAAGAAATAAACAGGAGTACCCATAAGCCACGCCTACTCTGAGCCCAGCGGAAAGGCAGGAGGGTGTCCCGCCCCTTGCTGTCAGAATTGGACTGTAGGAGCACTTTCATTGGCTAAAGAGTTTGTCACTGTCTGGGGCATTTGAACCCACCAAGCAAAGACCCGGTGCATCCATGTACTGTAGAGTTGCATCCTCGAATCCCTGCATCCCTTCTGTCCCACCAGGACTGGCATGCAGCTTTTCTATTGCTACTTAATACATGCCGGGCAGGGGTGGCTCCAGGTTCTGAGGGATAGGAAGAGGTTCCCTTTAAGACAAAGAATACAAAATTACAAATTCAAAATTAAGTATGAAAGTCAAGTGGAGCAAATAGAAAACAAGTACAAACCTGTTGTAAATGATCTGCACCAATTAAAAGACGGAAATTGTCAAAGGATAAAACAACAAGGCCCAACTGTATGTTGTATACAAGAAATCCACTTTAAATATAAAAACACAGGTTTAAAAGTTTAAAAAAAAAGACACTTAAAAGTAAAGTAAAGGGGTGGAGAAAGCTATGCCATGCTAACACTAATCAAAAGACAGCTGGAGTACCTATATTAATTTCAGGCAAAGCAGATTTCAGAACAAGGAAATGTATCAGGGATAAAGAGAGGGCACTACATAATGTTAAAGGGATCAGTTCTCCAGGAAGACATAACAATACTTACTGTGTATGCACCTAACAGCAGAGCATCCAAATACGAGGCAAAAACTGTTTGAACTGCCAAGAAAAAATAGATCAACTCACTATTATAATTGAAGACTTCAACACCACATCTTTAGGAATGAGTAGATCCAGCAGGCAGATAATGAGCAAGGATATAGTTGAACTGAGCAAACAATGTCAGCCAACCTGATCTAATTGACATCTATACAATACTTCCTGTAAACAGCAGAATACAGATTCTTCTCAAGTTCACACGGAACATTCACCAAGATAGGCCACATGCCACGTCATCAAAATACCTTAACAAATTTAAAAGAATAGAAATCATACAGAGTATATCCTCAGACCACAATGGAATTAAGCTAGAAATCAATAATAGCTGGTGAAAGACATCTAAAAGATTTATATAAATGGAGAGATATTCCATGTTTGTGGAGAGGAAGAATCAACATTTTTAGATGTGATCTATAGATTAAACACAGTTTCAGTCAAAATCCCAGCAAGCTATTTTGTAGATAACAACAAACTAATTCTAGATTTTATATGAAAAGATAAGGGACAAAGAATAGTCAGCACAACAGTGAAGAACAACAAAGTTGGAGAACTGACAGTATTGGACTTCAAGACTTACCATTAAGCTACAATAAGCAAGACAGCATTTTAGTGAAAGAATAGATACATAGATCAATGGAATAGAATAAAAAGTGCAGAAAAAGACCTGTACAAATGTAGTCAACTGATCTTTGACAAAGGGGTAAAGGAAAGTGATTGTAGAAAGAATAGTCTTTTCAAAAAATGGTGCTGGAATAATTGGACATCCATTTGCAAAAAAAATCTGGACATAGACCTTACACTTTTCACAAAAATTGACTCAAAATGGATCATAGACATAAATATAAAATGGAAAACCATAAAACTTGAGACGAAAACAAAGGAGAAAATCTAGGTGAACTTGGGTTTGGCAATGACTTTTTAAGACACAACATCAAAAGAATGATCCATGAAAGAAAAAATTTATAAGTTAGATTTTATTAAAATTAAAAACTTGTGCTCTTCAAAAGACTGTTAAGAGAATGGAAAGACAAGGGGGGAAATATTTGCAAAACGCATATCTGATAAGGGACTTGTATCCAAAATATACAAAACTCAACAATACGAAAACAACCCAGGCTTCCCTGGTGGTGCAGTGGTTAAGAATCCGCCAGACAATGCAGGGGGCACAGCTTCGAGCCCTGGTCCGGGAAGATCCCACATGCCACGAAGCAACTAAGCCCCTGCGCCACAACTACTGAAGCTTGCATGCCTAGAGCCTGCGCTCTGCAACAAGATAAGCCACCACAATGAGAAACCCCCGCACTGCAAGGAAGAGTAGCCCCCAATCACCGCAACTAGAGAAAGCCCACGCCCAGCAACGAAGACCCAACACAGTCAAATATAAATAATTTAAACAAATTTATTTTTAAAAAAGGAAAACAGCCCAATTTTTAAAATGGGCAAAATATCTGAACAGATACCTCACCAAAGAAGATATACAGATGAAAAGTAAACAAATGAAAAATATGCTCAACCTCTTTTGTCATTAGGGAATTACAAATTAAAACAATAATAAGAGACTTCTACATACCTATTAGAATGTCTAAAATTTTTTAAAAAGACCTATGCTAAATGCTGGTGGAGATACAGAGCAACAGGCACTCTCATTTATTGTTGGTGGGAATGCAAAATTGTACAGCCACTTTGGAAGACAGTTTAGCAGCTTCTTACAAAGCTAAGCATAGTCTTACCATATGATCTAGCAATTGTGCTCCTATATATTTACCCAACTGACTTGAAAATTTATGTGTACACAAAAACCTGCACATAAATATTTATAGCAGCTTTATTCATAATCACCAAAAATTGGAAGCAACCAAGACGTCCTTCAGTAGGTGAGTGAGTAGTCTGTGTTACATCCATACAATGGTATCTGTAAGACGCAGCATTACCGACTGGGTCTACTAGGTGCAAGTGATGCTTTTTGCCACATGGTGGTGGTTATTCAAGCTCTTGAATCGTTTGAAATCTCCCTTAGATCTTAGTTCCCAAAATAAAATTCAAATCAGGTACTAAACTCCTCCTGCCAGCACGCTGAGAGATAAAGACTTTTTATTCACTTTAAAAAGGTTAGATTTCTCATCACGTGGTCTCTGCTATAAAATGCAGTCACAACTTTGCCAGGCTAAACCACAGAAACAAATATGGGGAACAACATGTCTTTACACCCTGACCTTACACTTACTGTCCCGTGTAATTAGCAATAGCAACCCTTTTTACTTTCAAAAGTGAACAGCTTACAGGACTTCCCTGGTGGCATGGTGGTTAAGAATATGCTCGCCAATGCAGGGGATACGGGTTCGAGTCCTGGTCCGGGAAGATCCTACATGCCGCAGAGCAACTAAGACTGTGTGCCACAACTACTGAGCCTGTGCTCTAGAGCCCGTGAGCCACAACTACTGAGCCCGCGTGCCACAACTACTGAAGGCTGCGTGCCTAGAGCCTATGCTCTGCAGCCAGAGAAGACACCGCAGTAAGTCCACACACCTCAACGAAGAGTAGCTCCCGCTCGCTGCAGCTAGAGAAAAGCCCATGCGCAGCAACGAAGACCCAACACAGCCAAAAATAAAAAAAATTTTTTTAAGAGTACAGTTTAAACAATATGGAACCTCCTCAATTTTCCCCCAAATGGATCACTCCAACTTTTATCATCTTGATTTAATGAAATTTCCATCTGTTACCTATTTTATGACATGGGTCAGTGACTGCTTTGCCCAGAAGTCAGACACCTTTTTCAAAGACACCTGTTTTAATTAAGCCCATACTAAGGAAGGTACTTTTTCCGTTTGTTTGTTTTGCTTTGTTTACTGCAAAAACTTCCAACTTCAGTGTTACCACTGTGTTTCAGAGTTTGAAAGACTGGAAACAAACAGACAAAAACCCTTCTTTCTCCTGCGAGTTACGTTCATTGCCACAAGGTGGTGGTTTCCTCTAGGGAAACACTTCTGTGATCCAAATTGAACACCAGGAGCATTTTCTCTATTAAAACTCTTCAGATCCGTGATGTGACTGTTTAAAAGAAGAATGAACCTACTCTCTTTAACAGCAAATCACAAACCAGAGCAAATTATTTCCCCAGGTAACTTCCAGTATTCCATGTTAGATAAGAATGTATACATATAATACATCTTGGTCTAGGCTGACAAATATCTCTGCTTCTGGATATGATGCTTTCTTTTTCCATAAGTACCAGCATTGTCCCTACTGTAACTTGCTCTGAGGAAGGCAGCCAGGAGTCATAGAACTGGGAACTTGCGAGTCTAATAGGCTTGGGTGGGCCATGGACCTACGACCTACTGCCCGTGTGAGCTTGGGCAAGTCACTTCAACTTCAACAATTTCCTCGGCCTCGGTTTCCTCGTCTTTAAAAGGAGGAGTATAATACCTACCATTCAGGGATGTTACGGAGAGAGATAATGCCTTTTAAAGTTTCTGGACAGTAAAGCCGTTATTGGTATTGTTGTTAAAGTGTCATGTTTGGAGTGTAGGATCATTGCTGGGAGGCAGCTTCCCAGTCAAGGATCAAGATGACCGCTCCCTCCCTTGCCTACAGATGGAGCCATTGGATTAGTTTTCCTCAGTCAGGGTAGACATGGCTAGTGTTACTTGGGGGCCTAAGTGGTGAAGAATCAGATGTAGAATCTTCCGCACTCTGCCCCCAGCTGCCAGCTTGATGTTACCAGGATGGCTTTTTAATGACCAGAAATTTCACATTTTTGATGAGATTTAATTTAATTTTTTATTTAATTAAAATTTAATTTTAATTTTTTTTGTTTATTGTTTTCTTTGTCTGAAGAGATCTTTTCCTAAGGAATCTTTGCCTACTCCCATGAAGACATACCCTGTATCTTAAAGTTATAATACTAGAAATTATTTTTTAATTATAATAAAAGAAGTTATTTAAAATTCACATTTAGACTTATGATCCATCTCAAATTCACTTTTTCATTGAAATTTTTATTGAGATAATTATAGACTCACACAGTTGTCAAAATAACCTTGAGAAAATCTCTGTACACTCTGCCGAGTTTCCCCCAATGGTAACATTTTGTAAAACTATAGTATAATATTGCAACCAGGACATTGACATCAATACAATCCACCCGTCTTACTCAGGTTTCCCTAGTTTTAGTT